CTACCAAATACAATGTTTTGTCTTCAACCTATTGATCAAAGGATTGGTTATAGCCTTAAAGTAATTTTTAAATATATAATTTATAATTCTACTATTTAATAAAATATTATATTTATTTATTATTTCTTATAGATACAATATCAATATATTTTTTGTCAAAACTGTCTTGAAGCTTATAATACAATTACTGATAACAATCTAGTTTCTCCTGATATTATATTATATGATACAATTAATTTGTGGCTTAAACATAAAAAAAATGTTACTTCAAGTACAATTATTTATAACTAGGATAGAGCTGGTATACTTCTATCTATAGAAATTTTAAGTAATAATTTTATTTCTATATATAAAGAAACCGAATTAAAAGTTTCTGTGTCTAAAGAAACTAAATTGAAAACAGAAATTATAAATCTTATTAAACATTTATCAATTGATGATCCTTTAAATATACAAGAATATATTGAGATTGATAATTATATGAACATTAAAGAAGACTTAACTATAAATGAAATTGTTGATATAGTAAACAGACAAGATAAGAGTGAAACAGGAAAAAATGATTAAAATTGAAGATGCAATCATAGGACTTGATAACTTAATAAAGTATATTCAGCAAAATGATCTAGAAATTACTTCATCTTTAATAAAAGAATTGTATAGCCTTAAAAAGTATATTATCTATTTGCATAATAAAGTAAAGACAAGCTATATTAGAAGAATTTATTAACTTAATAGTTTAGAAATTTTTATTTTATTTTTTCAAATATCTAGTAATACAATATTACTATTATAAATGTAAATAAATTATAAATTTATTAAATATAACAATTTTACATGAAATAAAATATATATTTAATTCCTTACTATAAAAATCTTTATTTTTATAGTAAAGAAAATATATTTGGTACCACAAATAAATTCTTTTACTTAGATATTTCTAAATTGTTTACATTAATATGTTTTAATACTGTGAATTGATTCTACTTATACTAGCAACCTTTGAGTAATTCTCAGTGATATTATAGTCTCAAAATAACTGCTTCAGCAATAGTCTTAGTTAAATACAGTCTAAGTTCAAATTTGATTAAACACAGTTCAGAACTAATAAATCTAATATATATAATATATTAGATATTGCTATTATTACCTAATTATATGACTCTAATAATAGCCCCAATTATAGTCTTTAGTTTGGTCTGGTTTAGTTCACAAACCGATAGTTAAAATATATAAAGTTTTTTATAAACTAGACTTAACTAAACTGGACAATAACATCTCTAGAAATTCTGATTAAAAGAATAGAAATAGCTTATTAGTAATGTAGTAAAATCATTGCTGTAACTAGTTACAGCAATTATTAAGACCAATCTAGCATTACTACTTGATACCAAACAACTAATATCAATTGGTATACAGGTTAACTAAAGATACTTATAGTTATTAGCCCAATATATGAAGCTCAATTTTATAAAAAAAAATGCTAAAACATGTATTGGTAAAAAAAATAATGATATAATTTTATTTTTTCTATGCTATTTAAATATTGTGCTAGTTAATAAATATAGATTTTTAATTTTAGTTTACTAATAACTACAATATTAATAGGTTTATTTTCATATTCTAATTATTTGTACTTTAGTTTTGGTTCTAACAACATCTTTTTCATATACTTCTAATACCTTTAATTCTAATTGCATCTTTGAATTTATATTACAATATTATAATAGATTGTTTTTATTTATTTAATTATGGGGAAGGAAGACTAGAATTACTAAAGTTCATTGATTTACTCAATATAATTTATATATATATACATGTAATTAATTTA